TCTCTTAAGGATTAACCTGCAGAAACCAAACATTTGCTCAAACAAGACTTCCTACACATCTAAAACCTACAAACAACAAATTATTGAATTCTAGGTACTTAACCAAACATTTTCAAACCAAAAGGAGTATATATGTTAACAAAACTGCATTTGACTTACCAATTAACAATGGACACTTTCATAACGCGGATGCAGGTAGGCAGCGTCTCGAATATATTGCTCTAGCCATATAATGCCGAAACCACAAGCCTACTGCAGCTCTATCTCTATCGGTGGGAGGTAAAAACTCTATGCTTCCCGTCGTCAAACGCGCCAAGCAAAGGCATACGAGAGGACCACAATCCCCTCTGGCTCCCGGCGATTGCTGTGGCGCGGTCTCGTCTCTGACAACTGTGACATTGAACTTCTTTGGCTTCTTGTGTCCAGAATGACTCCAATACTTAATCCCATCCAAGAATTTAGCCAAATGAGAGCTCCATCCCTTGAAAATATCTCTCAAATCATACAGTGATATGTAATTTATCATGCTGTCATACACTATTATCTTCAGGATGGGAGCTGAAGTTGGACGAGAAGCCAGTGACGACGTTCCAAAACAGGGATAAACACCGCGATCATAAGTAATAATTCATTTAACACTAACCGTATCGACCTCCCACCATGCAGGATAAAGTTTAGCTTGTCCATTGCCCAACAAATGATTCATCTCGTTGATTCTTCAAGTGAACTGCGTGAAAAGCCGTAGACGTAACACCCATGCGAGATGCTGTTTTACAAAAAATACATATATTAGTGAATTACATTAATTTTTAAACAATTAATCAAATCATATATAAGACAAATATAGTCTTACCTCCCCATCCAAATAGCCACTGTCTTCAACCCCTAATAGAACACCACCACCGGACGCAAGCAACAAAACTTTCATCGTTGAGTTTGTTGATGTCAGTGTAACACCCTTGGCTCCGCTCATGTAGAAAATCAACTGCGGTCTTAGCCCAAAGGGTATTATCCACATTGTTTCCGGTAGTTGTCTCCTCTCCACTTCAGATACCGGAAGGGTACTAGCCGGTAACTCATACGAGAGCCAACTCATCCATCTGTCCGGAACCGGTGGGGGTTTCTCATACTTCGATATATTACCCCATGTGAATCGGGCTCTGGAATGGGGAGGGACCTCTTCAACGATGACATGGCCTCTTGAACGGTGGGGGGGAATCTTGAGGGAGAATAGGGGCCTCTTGAACGATTGGAGGGACTCTTGAGGGATGACCGATGAGTCGGGCTTCTTCTTGCGGAGTCTTCGCACCATTGGGGTGAACGGAGACGTAATAGCACGTCCACGCCGTCTGATGCGTGAACTCCGTCGTGCAAGGAAAACCCGACGTAAAGCATCCACCTTATCGGGCCGCTAAAAAAATTAATACATAAATCAATAAATAAACAGACATGATTAAACAAAGACAAATATGTTTCAAACTAGCATTGTATTCACCTAAATCATTATTCTATCATAGTTCACAAAATGCTCAGATAACATTCCAGAAGTAAGCACTTATATAAACATTTAAAAGGACAACATATATAACATTCCAGAAGAAGAATAGTTTACTTTCGCAACACGAAACAATCGCAACGACAAAATCGCAACGCGAAACACAAATCGCATTGCGATTTTCATTTCGCGTTGCGATTTTGTCGTTGCGATTTCATTTCGCGTTGCGATTTTGTTGTTGCGATTTTCATTTCGCATTGCGATAGCCATTTCCCGCGTTGCGATAGTCATTTTCGGTTGCGAAAGTAAACTATTATTCTTCTGCAAATTGAAACTTGAATGGATTGCATTACTTCAACCAAAAGACAAAAACAAAACCAAAACAATACTAACAAAACAGATTGGCAGCAACCGAATGAATTACGAGTATGAAAAATCTTAAACTTACCTTTTGCGTAGAGTATGAACCTCATTCTGCAACGATGCTACCATCTCACGTAGAGCGCTACCTCACCGCGTAATGTAGACACTCAACACGCCATGCACCATCTCTTTGCGTAAAGTACCGACCTCCTCACGCAAGGCATTGACCTCATCACGTAACTCCCCCCTAACTCTCCCGTTGAGGTGGAGGTGGAGAACAGGGAGATAAACGTCGTGACATCTTTGCCGGTCGCCTATTTGCGGTGATGGTGGAGAAGAGGCTCGATGGTGAAAGAATAGGTGATGGCTGTCGTTGTGGAGGTGTATAGCCAGGTCGATCAGATGATGGCTCTAGGTGAGTGATAGCTCTGGGCGAGGTGATGGCTCCCGAAGTGGAGGCTGCTCATCAACCCGTTCCATCAAAAAAACCTTACTAGCTTGCCACCAATCAGTGGCAAGCTCGCTTCCGTGGGTGTCAGCCTCTGTAGAGGAGTGTTGGCCTCCCTAACAATATAAAAGCTTAAACAAAGTTAAATGTGTACTAGTAATAACTTGTTTATAAACATATGTATATTTATGTTAACTTACATTATTTATTGTCGTATACCGTAGTAAATCTCCCATTGCAAGGTTCGTTTCCTCTTCCAGGAAATAGCCCTGGAATATTATTTGAAGTTTTTATTGCATATGTCTTCATGGCGGGAAAGGCCTCAAATATCCAAATCTACAAACAATATAATAACAAACATTAGTAATTGTTAAATAATTACTTATAATTTTGGAAACATTATATAAAATTCTTACCTTAAAGGCCCAAATAAAGCCTGTCAAATGTATTTGGAACCATCGCCATGCAAACTTTTTTCGATCATCCAAGGCAGACGATAACTTATTCCATGTAGCTTTCCATAAATACGAGCCCCACGGAAACAGGTTCCACGCATTTAGGTCTTCTACCAATTTGATTAGATCATTTGGAATAGTTGTCTGGCCTCTCTGCCTAAAAAGCCGGCATGCAAAAGAATTAGAAGGCATACTCGGACAACGTCGACGGCATCCATCCGAGTAAAACCATCTTTATTATTCAAAAATCTTGTCAGGTCTTCTACGTGTAGACTCGGCCTCTCCAGCTCAGAAAAACCCGGGATAGCCATGATGGGCGGGTAATGTGTCTAGTGTACCGACCTACATCATCGTGTCCGAAGCGTAGACCGGTGATTAAGCAAAACTCCTCCCGCCCAAAACACGTATACGCCGGTGGAAAATCAAACCATATCTCTTCATCACGAGTTGTATAGTCTCTGGTAGATCTCTAGTCATGGTTTGAAGAAACAGGTGTGTCACATCGCATCTCCACCGGGATGTTTTACTTTCAGCCATGGCCCGAAGCATGTATCCTCAAACATTTTCTTTGTGCAGGTGAAAGCTTCGACGCAATTGTTTTGGCCAGGCTGACTTTATTTCTCAAGGTCAATTGAGCCGAATAAAAGTTCTACAAAAACATAAACATACTAAATTAGATATACCAAAAACTACCTGTGAAGATATACCAAAAACAATAATAAACATAAATAGTAGTAGTTTATTCTTCAAACTTAAATATGCAACACTGTGAATTTCGTATTTGTCTTTGTTTTTGGTTGAAGTAATGCAATTCATTCAAGTTTCAATTTGCAGAAGAAGAATAGTTTCTGAAAATGAAAATCGCAACACGAAAATGACTATCGCAACGAGAGAATCGCAACGCGAAACTAAAATCGCGTTGCGATTTGCATTTCGCGTTGCGATTCTTGGTTGATTTAATAAGCAATCTAAGTGAAATGGTTAATCTATTATTGAAATTACCAGTAAACCTATCATCAATTTCAATATGAAAAACCTAATAATAATGCAAAAATTTCAAAAAGAAAATAATTAAAAAAACTAACCCTCGTTGGTTGATTTGGTTGATTTTCCATTTCTGATTGTTAGGTGGCTCTGAGAGATTTAGATAGATGGATTTCGCCGGAGATGGGGACGGATTTCGTCGGAGATGGGTGAGAGAGAGATGGAGATGGGACTGAGTTGTGATTTTAGGTTTTAGGTTATGAGTTGCGATTACGGGATATACTGTGGACAGTTCAGTGTTCCAATATATTTATATTCATGTTTGGAATTTAAAAATAAAATACTTGGCCAGGATACTAATGGCGCTTTGAAAATCGCATTGCGATTATGTATTATCGCGTTGCGAAAGTCAGTATCGCGTTGCGAAAAGTAAGTATCTCGTTGCGATTTTTTATTATCGCATTGCGATAGTCAGTATCGCATTGCGATTTTCCCAATTCACGTTGCGATTTACTTATTCGCATTGCGAATTTCCCAATTCGCGTTGCGATTTACTTATTCGCATTGCGAATTGGGAAAATCGCAACGATACTGTAGACCATCGCAACGCGATTTTCAACTATCGCATTGCGAAAATGCAACGCGTATTTGCGATAATGGAGATCGCGTTGCGAATTAGCGATCACATTGCGATTTTGTTGGTCATTTTGGCAAATCCGGAAAAAGTTGGTTAAAATCGTATATTATATGGGATTTTTGGTCACTGAGGTTATTTTCTCTTAGTTCAATTGGAGAACTGTTAATATTTTTCTCAATATTCGGTTAATAGTTAATTCGTTTGAAATTGATTAATTAATCAAATTAACCACAATTATTAAATATTAAATATATTATATATATTAAATACATATTTTAAGCTCAAACTCATTAAGAATTAAGACTCAATTTGCCGGAACCCAAATTTTTATTTAAAATATAATTACTTTATTTTATTTAATTAAGGGACCTAAATGTATAATTTTGAAAATTTTAAGGTTAATTTCAAAATTTTAAAAAGTTCATGAACTTAATCCTGAATTTACCCAATTTTCTGGTCAGTGGAAAAATGAAAATAGGGAGGCTAGGCAAGTTTGAACATATGACCCCGTATGACTGACCATCCCCTACCATCTACCCTAGGTCACTATTTAATTTTAAAATAATAAATATAAAATTTATAATTTGGTTTGGGTTAGAACCCAAAATAAAACCAGAGACCCCTAATCAGATAACCCGAAGCAACCCCATTCTCAAGCCATCGACCACCGATTTGCCCTTTCCAACTACAGTTTGGTGTTCCAACACCACCAGACAAACCTACAGCCTCCCATGACGTAACCTCAGCCAATCACAAATTTTATCGACCGCCAAACATCGTGAAAAAGTCGATAAAGGTTTGTCGAAAACCCTCACTCGCTGCTATTATTTTCCTCGTTTCTGTTCGAACCCGACGTTGTGTGACTTCATTACCACCAACACTGTGTTCCCCGACCTATTCCGACCAAAACCCAACCGGTGGGTGAGGTTGTCATTGCTATTTCGTCTGTCCGTCGTGAGTAAGTTTTTCGTCACCGTAATTGTTTATTTCGATGTGTTTTTGTTAGATTTTTGTCGATTTTGGGTTAAATTTCAATTATAATCGCTGTTTGGATGCTCTTAGTGTGTTCGACCGCCACCGCCAATCGTTTCCGTTGTCTCACATGCCGCTATACGCCGTCGGGTACGCGTGAGGCTCGTCTCCGTTTCAGGAAGCCTCCAAGACCAATCCAATCGGTCAGGACCAGCCCAACCCAGTCTGAATTGGGTTTGTTGACCCGAACCGATGTGTCCAAGTAATATATGGTAAGAGAAGAGATTAGTTTCCGAAGATTTTATATGGTAAGAGAACAGATTACATTTATTTTAAATTACTTTAATTATAGAAAGTTAAAAAAATAGTAATGTTGATATACATTTAAATGTACTTAGTGGGAAAAAATATAGAATGGCGGCAAATTAAATTTATTTTCTAAATTAAATAAGTATATTAAAAGAAGCAATAATACGAATACCATATTTATTTTTTCAAAAAAGTATAAATACCTCTATTGCGTTTTTGAATGTTAATGAATACAACAAACAAATTTATGCATTCTTGGAAGTTGAATAATAAATGGCAATGATAACGACTTTTTCGGCGAAGGCTGTACGCTGCTAATCAGTATTTCCTGAGAGTAGTAAGGGCAAGTCTTTTCATATTCTTCAAACTCTCCCTGTATAAGTAATCCGCGTAACATTTCATCATTCCAGTTTCAATCTTATTTATTTTTCTTTACCCTTGAAAGTAATGGCGAAACGCGCAGTTGAGAAATTAGTCTCTATCTCCAAGCCTACCAACTCTGAAGAAGAATATTCTTCTTCTTTTTCTTCTTCCTCTGGTTATTCATCCCACGCACCACAGACCAAACCACAGAAAAAACCGCGGCTTCTTCTTCTTCTTCGTCTTCGTCTGATCCATCCAGCTCGGACACACGACATGTCTCTAAAAAGCCCCGAACCGAGGTTTTAAAAAAGTAGGAAAGGGCGGCTGTCGTCGGGGGTGAAGAAGACACAAGTAAGCAACTATTTCAGCGTGTTTTTACTGAAGAAGACGAGATCCTTTTGCTCAATGGACTGTTCAATTTCTTGAAGGAAAGTGGAGCGGATGGCAATGGTGCCATTAATATGGTTGGATTTCATGAGCGTATTAAGGAATCCATCCACACTCAAATCACCAAGGCCCAACTGTCTGATAAAATCAAGAGATTGAAGAAAAGGTTTCATAACAATCCAGGCCGTGTCTTCAAAAAAGATTCTCAGCAGAAACAAGTTTTCAAGTTGTCTAATAAGATATGGGGCGTTAAGGAGTCGACGGTGAAATCAACCAATCATTTGTGTTTGTGTGCTTGTAAGTTTAGCTTGTTTGGTGCAGTCTTTGAAGATGGTCCTGCATTGGACGTTGGGGTTAATGGTGGTGGTGAAAGCCGAGCAACTATTCTGAAGAATTTAATGAAATATCAAATTACTGAGAGAATGAGATGATCATTAAGCTCAATGAGGTGATTAATGAGAAGCTTCATTACGTTAATAATTGTCTTAAGTCTGAATCTAAGTAGGTTTTTGTTTGTCTTGTGGTTGTTTAATGGTTAATCGTCATGAAGTTTAGCTTTCTTTTGTTAGAGGGACGATGGTCTTGAGAATATTATGCTGCCTTTATTAATGAAAATCTTATATGCTTGCTTATAATAGCCTTCAAGCCACTTAACTACATACTGCTTTAAACTAATATATGAAAATGATAATCTGAACTATCTCCACACAGTATGGGATGTGTTTGGCCTGAGCAAAATCTTGGCTTTTCTTTTAAATGTTAAATTATTTAGAAAATCAAGTGGAGTACAAATGATTTCACATGCATGTATGAATGTCACGTTGATATTTTTGATATCAACCAATAATTAACTTTTTTATTTTGTTAGATGTGTGAGTTGTGACCCCCGATTACTCGAAAACAAAATAAAAAAATCAAACAAGTAGTTGATAATTCAATTGGAAAGAATTCTCATTTAGGGTATTTTTTAATATACTTGTTAATGTTTTAAGGCAGCTTGATACCCATAAATTCTACTAATTATTTGTGAAGATTGAAGAATCTTTACATTGGCCTAAGGTTTTCAAATTAATTGGGAAGAATCAATGAAGCCACAATTTATTTTGTGGTGATAACAAAGTATAACTTAAATATAAGTTTTGTTAGTATCATAACAAATATATTGGTTAATTTAGTGACTTAGTGTTTGGCCCATTGTCATAAAGGTTAAGGTTTCATTCTCCTTCACAACAGTTAATGTCATAACCATTTTTCGGGTGGAACAAATATTTTATTGTTTTAAGAAACAGTTACGACTTTTGTTTTGGAAAATTTGGCGATTTTGGATTAATTTGTATTAAATAGAAAGGAGTCGCCATCGACCTTTGGGTTAGGTAGATCGAATACCTAAAAACGTCTTTTAAAAACAATTTTAAGAAAAATCATTTTTTATGACAAAAGCTGATATGTGTTTACCAGAAATTCGATTTAATGAATCCGGGAGTTGGTTATGCGTGGGGAAGGATTAGCACCCCACAGCGCCCAAAATTAATACTGTGTTACACGTTGTCGTAAATGGTGAAAATAATGAATCAAATATAAAGTTAAACGATGATCCGTGCAGTTCTGCTAAACTACCAAGATTTGATGTCTCCGTTACATGAGGCTCTGCACTAATGATGTTAGGGTCAACCAGCTTTGATACTTGGAGGCATTTTTTCGTTGTTGCAATTGCTCTATTCCTAATCCTATATGACACTGTGATAAGTGCTTAATTTAGTTAATATTTTGCTTTTAAATTACTCCTTAATAATTGGTTTTTGTGACTTATTTGTTCGTTTTGATTCATTTTCTGTGCAGGACGTTAGATTCTAGAAATTGCACTAAAAGGACAAAATTCTGCAATTTTTTTATTTTCGGAATCGAAGCTGGATTAGTGGGCATGAATTCGGGCATGAAACATCCGACGAGGCGATGATGTCAGCACCTTCTAGAAGATCCAGTCAGCATTTCTAGAAGCAAAAATGGATTGGCCGCACGTTTCTGCAATGCAGATTTGAATTAAACTCAAGTTTTAGGATAATATTTTTTTATCTTTGTTTTAGATATTTTAGTTTAAATAGGTTTTTAGTATTTTAATTAAGTTTAAGCATAATATTTTAAATATTATATTTTATCTATGTATTTTAGTTTAAATAGGTTTTAGTATTTTAATTAGGATTTCGAATATTATTTTAAATAATATTTTTATTTTATATTTGTTTTAGGTATTTTAGTTTAAATAGTTTTAATTAGGATTTAAGTTATTATTTTAAGAATTATTTTTAGCTTGTTTTTAGAAATTTGAAAACTATAAATACCCTTTAAGGGTGAGCCTAGAAACATATGTCTCACTTCTGAGAATTAAATATTTTTTCTCTCTCTAGCTTTCTCTCTATTTTGCACCTACTTCTTTACTTTCTTTTGGAATTTCATTTTCAACAATTGCTAAGTATGACTATGGTCATGCTTAGATAACTTTCTTTCAAGCCGAAGACTAAAGCGAATGTTCAATTCCAAATGTGAGAATTGTAAGGTACTTAAATCATTTCAGATTTTCTCTCTGTTTTCTGAGCTTACTTTTCAAATCAAAACGATTTCGACATTGGTCCGAATATTGTTATGGTTAACGTTTGAAGAAGGATTTGCTTATTGAAGCATATTCAACTTCCCGAGAACACACATAGAAAAATTGTTTGCTAAGAGGAAACTGAGATCGTAATCAATTGTTGTTGAAACGACTCAGTCCGAGTTGGCAGCGAAGAATTGTCCTTGTAAGCCGACGTGAATCTTGAAGTAAAAATTTGTTTCGATGATCCGAGAAATTTGAGGCGAAGCTGAAGTCTGAGGCTGCTTTCACAATAAGTTTTCTTTATCCAAATTCAGTTATTTTATTTATTTGTTTATTTAATTTTTATTTGATTATACTTCTTTAAATAATTTAAACCCCTTTTTATATTTATTACTATTAATGTTTATTATTATATTATTTTCTCTTTTTTCTCTTTATTTTTTATTTTTTTATTTTAAAATTATAATTATTTATTTTATTTAATTAAATCTTTTCAACTATACCTGAAATTCTATATTTTCCTAAATCAAGAAATTGTTTTACTAAATCACAAAAACTATAGTCCCTGTGGATCGACTCTGCTTCTGTATACTACCTTTTCCTTTCTATTTAATTAAGAAGCCGAAATTATTTTGATATCAGAACGACGGTTATCAAATTGGCACCGTTGCCGGGGACTAACGGCAAGTACTGATTTATTTTTCTAGTTTTTTATTTATGACAAGAAGAAACCTAGGTGAATTAGTAGATCTAGATCCGAAGATCGAAGCACGAACACAAAGAATCCATGCACAAACGCTTCGAGAAAAGAGAAAAAGACAAGAAGAACAAGCGCAGAGATTAGAAACAGAATCAAATCTGGAGACAAACTCTGAAGCAGACGCATTCAACATTTCGATGGCAGAAGAAGAGCAAACGATCCGAGAACTAGCCACAACTCCTGTCACTCAGACGCCATTATGCATCAATTTTCCTAGTGGCAAGACTCTGTTTCAATTAAAGACGAGACTGATTTATCTTCTTCCCACCTTCCACGGCTTTCCCACTGAAGATCCGTAAAAACACTTGTTGGAATTCCACATGGTTTTCACTAGCATTAAACCACAGGGAGTTACTGAAGATCAAATTAAATTGAGAGCTTTCCCTTTTTCTTTAGCCGATTTAGCTAAAGATTGATTATTTTATTTATCTCCAAATTCAGTTAATTCATGGGTTGACATGAATCGAATTTTTCTTGACAGGTTCTTTCGAGAGAATAAAGCAAGCGAGTTAAGAAGGAGCATTCTTTCCATTCAACAAAAGACCGAAGAAAGTCTTTATGACTATTGGGAACGATTTAAAAAACTTTGCGCACATTGTCCGCAACACAGATTAAGTGAGAAAACGTTACTTCAATACTTTTATGAAGGCCTTTTATCAATGGAGATGAAAATGATGGATGCTGCCAGTGGAGGAGCATTAGTCAACATGACCCCAACAACAACAAGGGAGTTGATTTCAACCATGGCAGCCAACTCTCAACAATTTTCAAGTGAACCCAGCTGACAGGTTCACGAGTTAAGTACTTTTTCCCTTAAGAATAAGTTAGACAAATTAACTGAAGTAGTTAATTCCCGTGTTGCAGAAAAATATGGAGCAACAAGAGCATGTGGGATATGCACAAAGTTAGACCATCCGACGGATTGCTACCCGCTGATACAAGAAGGAGGTAATGCAGAAATCAATGCAGTAGGAAACTTTTCATGTCCTACACAAAGACAATACAACACATACAACAATACTTAT